GCAGCTCCAGCCCCTTGTGAAGGTTGGGGAGCCTCAGGGTCAGGACTAGAATGAAACAAGAGAGGTGCCTGGGGCACTCTCAGGTTGGTGCTGCCCTGAACCTGAACTTGCAGGACCCTGAGACTGAGTGCCTCCATTAATTTTGTGCCCTAGACACCTCACTTTCTCTTATCCTGGTCCCAGCCCTGGGAACTTCTAGATAAGCAAGGCTTGCTTAGGCTTTGAGGAGTATACCCAGGCCTGAGCAATGTCAAGAAAGATATTTTAAGTTGTATACTTTATCAACCTCCCCCCCATCATGACTCCTGACAGACACCTTTATTTCTGAGTCTAGACAATTTGATGAGGCAAGGCATCCCCTCACCCAGGGGAGCCCTCAAACAAAAGCTGGATGTCTCCTGCCATTTGCTTTAAGTTAACTTTCCTCAAAGTTCAAGTGCCTTCATAAAACGTAAAAGGGAGACTTCCCTAGTGGCGCAGTGGTTGAGAATCTGCCTGCCAATGCAGGGTACATGGGTTCGAGCCCTGGTCCTGGAAGATCCCACATACCGTGGAGCAACAGAGCCCGTGGGCCACAGCTACTGATCCTGCGCTCTAGATCCCACGAGCCACAACTACTGAGCCTGCGTGCTGCAACTACTGAAGTCCACGTGCCTAGAGCCCATGATCCGCAACAAGAGAAACCACCGCGATGAGAAGCCTGAACAACGCAACGAAGTGTAGCCCCCGCTCACCGCAACTTGAGAAAGCCCGCGTGCAGCAACGAAGACCCAACGCAGCCCCAAAAAAGGTAAAAGGAAGCCCCAGCCTGATGGATTCCTCCCTGCACTGGGGCCTGCAGGACCCTTGCACACTTCTCTTTGAGGACTCAGGGAGGCACGTAGGAAGCCTGGCTGCTCACACCCCCACGTGACCTTGATCCCGCGGACTGCCTGTGCGCGGCTCATTTGTTGATTCAGTGGCAAAACAAAGCAAGTTGAAAAAGACATAAGGGTTAAAGGTATCAAAGTCTAAATAGGAGTATTTGTTTATATTCCTTTTAAAAACTGGCAGTTTCTGCTGAGGAGGCTGTCCTGGAGAAAGGAGAAGAGAGGCCAAAAATGCAGGAGAAAGAGAGAAGCCAGGGAAGTTTGTAATTACACTTTAAGTTCATGTTTCCCACAAGGACTGGGAAGAGGGGCCACTATGAAGGACTGATGATTTGTTCTTGGGAAGGTTTTCTCAGCCCCGGCAGTGTTGCATGTGGAGCGGGATGAATCTTTGCTGTGGAGGCTGTCCTGTGCACTGCAGGATGTTCAGCAACGTCCCGGGTCTCTACTCACCGGGCGCTGATGGCTTCCCTCCCCAGTCACGACAACCAAAGTCTCCAAACATTGCCAAATATCCCCCCGCCAGGAATGGTATGACAAAATAGTCCCTGCTTGAGAATTCCAGTTTTAGGGGGTTGTCAGGGCTTCAGCTGACTTAAGCAAAGTGACTTTCCCATTATAGGACGTTCCTGTGAATTCTGGATGCGAAGAAAGGAGATAGCATTCTTTACGATGACATATCACTGAACAGTAACTCATCATTCTAGTCATTCTAAAATGATATCCAGAAGAGTATTACAAGTGTTTATTTTACATATTATATGGGATCTTTGACTGAGTGGAGGAGGAAAGAGTAAGGGGCCCTGCTAGCCCCACAGAGAGACCTCCAAACACCACATACTGCTCCATGCACAAAAACGCACCACAAACGTTCCCTCATCCTACACTTCTTGTCTGAAAAATGATGTCAACAGCTGCAACTAATAATCTTTCAAAATTTATAGATCAGAGAATTTCAATGGAAATCATCAGCTAAGTGGTAATTTTTTTAAGTACTGAACTTTATAGATACATTAGTACATATCTATATTTATAGTATTAGATAAATAGATAGTATTGTTTGTATGTTGCTATAGCAATCCGGCGACAGGAGTTAGTTTTCCTCGGGGTGCGAAAGGTAATAGTAAAATGGATGGTGTTCGTATAGCTTCGGGTGCTTCGACACAGTCATTTCACTAGATGCTCACAGTAAGGCAGGAAAGTGATTAGTGTCACTTCTGTGTACCTGGCATCCATGATGGTACAGGGATAATGGCTCCTTAACCGCCTCTATCCCCAGAAAGGATGTGCAGGGGGAGAGATTGCCTGTCAGACTTTCCCCCTCTGCAGCTCCTGTGTCTTGTCTCACGGCTTTCAACGTAATCACATTGCTCAAAAAGAGGCCCAGGCCTGCCAGGCCCACCTTCTCCCTCCCGCCCCCTGTGCCAGCCCAGTCTCCTCCCTCCCTGATTCTGCCTGCAGCTGCCACTCTGCAGCTCTCCTCTCAGGAACATCAATTTAAGTTGTTTTAAGCCAGGCGTCTGAGCATCCTTAAAGCACTTCCCCTGCTGCCTCCTATACAGCTGGCCTGGTGATGAGCTCTAGCAGAGAACAGAGATGGACCGTTGTTGCCTTGACACTCTACCCCATGAATAAGCCTGGGAGGGGGGGCTGTTATATGGCGGATTCCCCACAAGAGTGGGAAAAACAGCATCAGAAGGATGAATAGACAGAAAGCTATAATGGGGAAAAAGAACACGACTTTTAAAAAAAGGTTCTTTCAAAGCAGGCTGCTGTAAACATTCCTGGTTCTGTTTAAATTGGGCTGTCAATGTGCGTTGTATTTCTTTCCATGCCTCCTGTTGGTTTTTCCTGCAGGCTTGTCACCAGTGAGACCAGGCCTGAGAGCTAAGCCACTCCCACCAGCTGTAAATATCCTCCCTAACACCGTGTTATAGGGAGCGCAAAAGCCATATATCCTTGGACTTTAGGGTAGTTGTGTTAGTCAGGGTTCTCCAAAGGAAACAGAATCAATAGTGTGTGTGGCGAGGGGTGGGGGGAGTAGGAGGGAAAGAGTAGTGAGAGAGAGACAGAGAGAGATTGATTTATTTTAAGGAGTTGGCGCATGCAATTCTGGGGGCTGGCAAGTCTGAAAACTGCAAGGCAGGCTGGAGACCCAGGGAAGAGCCGATGCTGCAGTCTTGAGTACAAAGGCAGATTGCAGGCAGAATCCCCTCTTCCTTGGGGAATTTCTGTCTTTGCCCTTAAGGCCTTCAATTGATTGGGTGAGGCCCACCCACATTATGAAGGGTAATCTGCTGTACTCAAAGTCTACTGATTTAAATGTTAATCACATCTTTAAAAAGCCTTGGGACTTCCCTGGTGGCGCAGTGGTTGAGAGTCCGCCTGCCGATGCAGCGGATATGGGTCTGTGCCCCGGGTCCGGGAAGATCCCACATGCCGCGGAGCGGCTGGGCCCATGAGCCATGGCCGCTGAGCCTGCGCGTCCGGAGCCTGTGCTCCGCAGTGGGAGAGGCCACAACAGAGAGAGGCCCGCGTAACCCCCCCAAAAAAAAAAAAAAAAAAAAGCCTTGGGACTTCTCTGGTGGCGCAGTGGTTGAGAATCCGCCTGCCAATGCAGGGGACACAGGTTCGAGCCCTGGTCTGGGAAGATCCCACATGCCACGGAGCAACTAAGCCCATGGGCCACAACTACTGAGCCTGCACTCTAGAGCCCACGAGCCACAACTACTGAGCCTGAGTGCCACAACTACTGAAGCCTGTGTGCCTAGAGCCTGAGCTCTGCAACAAGAGAAGCCACCGCGATGAGAAGCCTGCACACCACAACGAAGGGTAGACCCCACTCGCCACAACTAGAGAAAGCCTGTGTGCAGTAATGAAGACCTAACAACGAAGACCCAATGCAGCCAAAAATAAATAAATTCATTCATTCATTTTAAAAAAGCCTTTACAGCAACATCTAGACTGGTGTTTGACCTAGACATGGCCTAGTCAGGTTGACATATAAAACTGACCATCACGGCAGTCCTACAATCCTACCTAGTGGAATGGGACTAGATTCAATAGGACTTGAATCGGAGCTGAGGTACAGGCAACTGCCTCTAGGGAGCCTCTCTGTAATGGTCTGGGTTTGGGGAACCCATGGGTAAATGGGAGGTTCTGCCTTCCACATGCCTTCTCCATTGCCATCTTTTTAATTTCTTTTTATAAATTTATTTATTTTGGATTGCGTTGGATTTTTGTTGTTGCACACGGGTTTTCTCTAGTTGCCCCAAGCAGGTCTATTCTTTGTTGTGGTGCGCGAGTTTCTCATTACGGTGGCTTCTCTTGTTGCAGAGCACAGGCTCTAGGCGTGCGGGCTTCTGTAGTTGCAACACGTGGGCTCAGTATTTGTGGCTCGCGGGCTCTAGAGCACAGGCTCAGTAGTTGTGGCGCATGGGCTTAGTTGCTGCACGGCATGTGGGATCTTCCCAGACCAGGGCTTGAACCCGTGTTGCCTGCATTGGCAGGCGAATTCTTAAACACTGTGCCACCAGGGAAGTCCCTCCATTTTGTTGTCGCCTGCATTGGCAGGCGAATTCTTAAACACTGTGCCACCAGTGAAGTCCCTCCATTTTGTTCAAGCCTGCTCTACAACTACAAGTCCTACTGGAGCCCCCCATTTCCTTCCCAAGTGCTCACAAAGCCTGCATAAACCCCTCCTGCATGTGGGCTTGCTAGCCTTTGTCACTTGTTCAAAGTCAGGAGGGTCAGCTACAGCCTTCAAGTGATTCTAGGCCAAAAATTACTGCAGTGCCACTGTGAGGAGCCTGGAGTTATTCTGGGGTGAAGGGGCCTGGGTTGGGCTCACCAGCCAAGATAAGAAATACAGTGGAACAGAAAGACCGCTATTCTGGGAGCAGGGCAACCTAGCCCCATATTTGTCACTGACAAATGTCAGTTAAGCATTTTACATCTTTAGGCCTCAGTTTCCTTGTTTGTAAAATGATAGGGGTAGGCCCAGTGATCTGTAGCTCTAAGGTTCTTTGATTCCATTAGCGCGTTGGCACGTGGCCTCTGACTACAGGATGCCCCACCCAATCCATGCCCAACCTGACCCATATTTTAGGAGGGAGCATTTTCGATAGCTATTATTTATTCTTCTGTCTATTCATGTATTAATTCAATACATTTGTGCCTACCCTATGGATGAAAACCTTCCATAGTATTATGACAGATACAAAGAAATTTAAAACAGTATCCCTGCTTCAAGGAACTTAAAACCCAGCTGGGGAATAATTCAGTTAGGATATATTTGGCTGCAAGTAACAGAATTCCTGAGCAACGGTGGCTTAAGCCTTGTAGACCTTGGTTTATCTGCAGTAACAAGAAGTCTGGAAGTCCGCAGTCCTGGAGCTGGTTTTGGGGCTCAGTGATCTCTGCTGTCATCAAGACACATCCTCTTTCTAACATCCTTTAGGCTTCTTGTCCTTAGGTTTGTCACCTCATTGTCATGCAGTGGCTGCTACAACTCCAAGCTCTACATCTTCACACTAGTGCTCTGAGAAGGAAAGTAGAGGCATGAGAAAAAAAAGAGTTTTGCAAGATAGGCTCCAATATTTTTCTTAAAGGAAAAATTATTTTTTATTATTATTTATTATATTTTATTATATATTTATTTAATTATATATTAATTAATTTATTAATATATATATTTTTATTATATTTTATTATTATTTATTATATTATTTATTATTAATTATCAACAGACTTCCCCTTTATCTTCTCAGCTGGAATTGGGTCACACTCTCATCCCTAGTCTAATCCTGAGAAAGGGAAATGGGTTCCATCATGATTCACCTCTGGGTACCTCTGTGATAGCTGACCAAAGAAGGAAGGAAAGGGCTCACAGGGTAAATACATATATATCAGTAGAAGCGTGAATCAACAATACAATCCTAGATTAAGCAAGAATCAGCCTTGTCAATAGGCCAACGTTTAGGTCCTGGTTCCCCACCTCTCCTTGTGTGTATCTATATGACATTGGTTAAGACACAAGCTAGAGACCTGGGGTCCTTTTCCCTCCTCTGCAAAAATAGCAATGGAGAGAATGGAGGGCATATAGGTGAATTCTCCATCCCTACCTACTTACAAATAAATTCTGCTCTAGTTCTAGATAGTGGGATGAAAGTGTATTACAGCAGACAATTAATGTGTCGAATGTGGGCCCTGGCACTGTCTGTCCTTCACCTCTGAAGGCCAGGCCAGTCCCTCCAGCCCTGCAAGATCAGGCTAACCTCATCCTCTGGTTAACAAAGAGGCTCCAGAGTGAGAGGTAGCTCACCTAGGCTTTGAACTCTGGCCTGGAAACATTTGTCAAATCACTGCGGTGTCCCAGTTTCCTGCCCTCTTAGACGGCAGCAATCGTATCTACCTCACAGGGCTGTTGAAAGGACTAAATGAGAGAAAACACATTAAGAACTTAGCACAGTGTCGGCACATAGTAATTCATTTAAAATTGTTGAAGTTAAAATTATGATCTTACTTCCCTAAATGGATTCTAAGATTGAAGCAAGGACTATGTTTACTATCTTGTTCACATGTTTTCTTTACTGACAGCACCCTTCCCACCCACCTTGCCTGATATGTCAGATGTTCATTAAGAGTGAATGAATGCCACCTGACACCCGTTAGGATGGCTACTACCAAAAAAATAGTAAGTGCTGGAGACATATAAGAGAAACTGGAACCCTTGTGCATATGGGCAGAAGAGTAAAATGGTGCAGCCAGTATAGAAAACAGTATGGTGATTCCTCAAAAAATTAAAAATCTGATTCAGCAATTCCATTTCTGAGTACATACTCAAATTAATTGAAAGCAGGGGCTCAAACAGATATTTGTACACCCATATTCATAGCAACATTATTCACAATAGCCAAAAGATGGAAGCAACCCGAGTGTCCATCAACGTGGATGAATGTATAAACAAAATGTGGTATGTGCATACAATGGAATATTATCCAGCCCTAAAAAGGAATGAAATTCTGACACATGCTACAACATGGATGAACCTGGAGGACGCTATGCTAAGTGAAATAAGCTAGTCACAAAAAGATACATACTGGATGATTCCACTCATATAAGGTACTTAGAGTAGTCATTTTCATAGAGACAGAAAGCAGAATGGTTTCTGGTAGTCGGTTTCTTCTGGTGGTTGCCAGGACCTGGGAGGAGGGAAGAATGAAGAGCTGCTTTTTAATGGGTGTAGATATTCAATTTTGCAAGATGAAAAGGGCTCTGGAGGTTGGTTGCACAACAATGTGAATGTACTTAATAGTACTGAACAACACACTTAAAAATGGTTAAGATAGGCGGCTTCCCTGGAGGTCCAGTGGTAAAGAATCCGCCTTCCAATGCAGGGGACGCAGGTTCAATCCCTGGTCAGGCAACTAAGATCCCACACGGTGTGGGGCAACTTAGCCCGTGGGCCACAACTACTGAGCCCGTGTGCCTCAACTAGAGAGCTCACGTGCCGCAAACTACAGAGCCCACGTGCACTGGAGCCCGCACGCCACAACCAGAGAGAAGCCCGTGCACCACAACAAAGAGCCCGCACACTGCAACGAATGATCCCACATGCCTCAACAAAGATCCTGCACGTCTCAACGAAGACCTGACAAGCCAAAAAATAAATAAAATATATAAATAATAAATAAATCTAAAAAAACATGCAATCATTTTTAAAAAATGGTTAAGATAGTAAATTTTATGTTAAATGTATTTTACCACAATTTTTTTAAATGTTTAATGAATAAATGTATTGATACATGCTTCAGCATGAATGATCCTTAAAACATTAGACCAAGTGAAAGAAGCCAGTAACAAAAGGCTACTTACTGTATGACTCTGTTTTTAAAATGTCCAGAAGAGGCAATTCCATAGAGACACAAAGTAGATTCGTGGTTTCCAGGGGTTAGGAAAACTACTAAAACTAAAAACGACAACTACTAAAAACTACTGAACTGTACTCTTTAAAAGGGTGACTTTTATGGTATATGAATTATATCTTAATAAAGCTGTTTTTAAAAAATGAATGAACAAATCAGATTCTAATTATATCCATATCATTGGGATCATTTTAATTCAGTGTCAGTTCCAGAAAGGAGGTTAATCTTGAATAATTTGGGTCAGAAATACGGGTAGCAAGACATTCAGGTGGGTCCTCTGGGCAAACCTCAGTCTGGCAGTCCCATCAGCCTTTGAGATTTGCTGCCTAATGGCCTGGTGAGGGTTTCTAGAATCCCCAGGCTTTAGCAATTGACCACAGGACCCTTATCTCCCTGAAGCCACTGGCTTGTCTAACTGTGGAGTCTCCTCAGGGCACTAGGACTAGAGAGAGAGTACATATCTTCCCCCACAAACACCCTGCTGGGTGTTCAGTTTACTACTTGTCATTATAATGATGTAATTGCATGCTACTCATTGATAATGTGCAAAACAATCACTAGAGAGTATAAACAAGCAGGTGGTGAGCAACCTCCTTGCAAAACACTAAAGGTAAACTTCAAAAGGTTTTTTTGTTTAATCAGTTTTGCAAACCTGTGCCATAATCCCAGATGTGTAGCAGAGCATATGTGGCAGCTTGGAAGTGACAGTGACACATTCAGTAAAATGGCACATTGTCAGAACCAACCACGGGAGAAAACCCCAAGGCAATCAGGAGCCAGAAAGTGGAATTACGACGCACTGGCAGGCCTTTATTCCCATCAATGAGCCAAACGTTTCATGCTTAAAAACACCTTCTGTCCTCCTAATGCATTTTCATACAGCATGTAAATTTTAAGTTGCTTCTCCTGAAGATACTTTCCTCATCCACCCAACAGGAGCCTATGAGACTTGTTCTAGGAGCGCTCTCTACCATCAAGACCTGTATCCTGGTGTCTGGTGGGCTAGCATTGAAGGTTATGTCTAGTCCCCAAGACCACCAACCTGTACTGCACCAGACCCAGCATTCAACTCCTCTAACAACCTGAATGGGCTTCTAGAACCGGGTCTTTGAAAAATTGAGTACTTGAAAATTAACAAACCATTCCAAAGACTGGAATATAAACATATGTAAGCAATGTAAGCCCAGAAAAAAATGATTATTATAACAGGCATAGTTTTGTGAATCACTGATCCCTCTTTTCTGAGAGATTGATAAGTTCTTCAAGCCCCAGCAAAAAAAGGCAATCACCAGTTTTGTCATCTGAACCCTGGGTCCCTTTCTGCAGCCTCTTGTGGGTTCTACCAGAGGTGCAAAAGGCTCTGAGCATCTTCTTAGTTCTTAGCCACAGAACATGGGTTGTCTTTATTCTCTCTAGCTGCTCTTCTCTTTTTTTTTAATTGAGATATAATTTACACACCATAAAATTCACCCTTTTAAAGTGTACAGTTCAGGGGTGTTGAGTATATGCACAAGATAGTGCAGCCATTACCACTACTAATTTCAGAATATTTTCATCACCCCAAAAGAAACCCCATGCCCAATACCAGTCATTCCACACCCCTTCCTTCCCCCAGTCCCTGGACTCCACTCATCTACTTTCTGTTTCTTTCGATTTTCTTATTCTGAACGTTTCATATAAATGGAATCATACAACATGTGGTCTTTAGTGACCAGCTTCTTTCACTTCCTGTAATGTTTTCAAGGTTCATCCATGCTGCTGCATATATGAGTATTTCATTCCTTTTATGGCTGAATAATATTCCACTCTACGATATGTTATATTTCTCATCCATTCATCACTTGATAGACATTTAGGTTGTTTCTACTTTGGGGCTATTGTGAATACTGCTGCTGTGAACTTTGGTGTACGGGTTTTTGTGTGGACGTGTGTCTTCCTTTCTCTTGGATATATAACTAGGAATGGATCTGATGCGTCATTTGGTGACACTATGTTTCACTTTTCTGAGGAGCTCCCAGACTCTTTCCCACAGCAGCTGCGCCCTTTGGCTCTGTGGGTGCTCCTTGCTGTGGCAGCACTTGGGCCCTTTCTCGGCCTCTGCCTTTTGTGTCCCTCATCATCCCACTTGATCTGCAGATCTCTCTTGCAACACACTTCCAGGTGCTATGCTCTTGTTTCCTCCTCCTACTTTCCCTGTAGATCAGCTAACCTGCCCCCAAGCAGAGAAGGGAAAGAGAACAAAAACGCCGCGAGGGCCCTCTGGAGGCTGTGTGCTGTATCCCACGCTTTATGTGCACAGAATAAGACCATAGAGTGTCCCACCTAATCGGCCAAGTAACTGACACCTGGGCTAGTTTTATTGCTCCAACCCACTTCCCGGGCCTCCGTGGCAATGTTACTCAGACGATGTGTCACAGAATCTGGCGGTGCTCCAGAGGCTCAGCAAAAAACCAGCATTTTCTGCCAAACAATGAATATTTCAAATTCCTGAAAAATCCACTCCTCATTTTTATTTGTTTCATATTTCGAAGCTCCAGGAATCTGTCTTGTTCACAGCTTGCCCAGGACTTAGAACAATACATGGCTTACGGTAGTTGTTCAATAAGTACTTATCTAGTAAATGAAATTTTCTGCTAAGAATTTGGCAAATCGTGTGCTAAGGCATTGACTGACTGCATGTCAAAAATTGCCCAAACAGTATTTTTAAAAATATTCTTTACTGGGCCCTGCTGAATCAGCCTCTCTAAGGTAGGCACTGAGGTCGCTGTTATCAAATTTCCCCTGGTGATACTGATGGAGATTTCTGAAGACCCTAGTCTGGGTGCCGTGGCTCTGAGAAATGCTCTCTTTGTTTGTCTGGCCACAGGGCTGGTGACTTTAATGGTTACCCCGCCCCTCAGGCCTTAGGGGTTCTCACTCTGGTCCAGGACCACAGTTCAGCAACCATATGTCAGGGGTCTCTTTCTGGATCCACTGGCATTACAGTCCACTGGCCACTGCTGGCTTCACTCCAACCGTTAGATCTTTCAATGCAATTGATGATTCTCCATGTCTGGAGAGCCCCACAAGTCAGTCTTTTCCTATCCCTCTACTTTAGACTTGCTTTCTTATTATTAAGTAACAGAGATTAAAGCCATGCTACTTTGAACACCACAAGTTCCCCATGGCTGCAGAAAAGAATCTCACCACTTATATTCTATAACTCTCCCCACTACTCCCCAAGGACTTGAGGGACAAACACAGGCCATGCAATCATGTATGGGGTCAGTTCTCTTTTCCCTCCACCTATCAGAATGGGGCAGGAGTCCCTACAGGCTCAGTTCTTCTCTCAAAGCCAAGGCTAGCGTAGAAAGTTGTAATTTTTTTTCCACTGACAGTGGACCTAGAGAGAAAAAAAGAACTCCTGACTCACCTTTACTTGCGTGCTCAAGTTTCACTTCCCCTTTTCTCCCAGAAAGAAGAAGGACTTTATCGTGTTAGCACATTTAAAGATTCTCTGGAGCTGTTCAGTTATTTATCTACAGTCAGAGGAGGCCCACAGAGTGAGGAAGACCGGGGTGTAGCAGTAGAGTTGGCCCTAAAGGCAGCGTAGGGGTAGCAGTGAGGGTGGGAGTAGGGCGTGGGTGAGGGGAGGGGAGGGTGAAGCAAGGAGGCAGCGTGGGTCTAGATGACCAGTCGGTAAAGCCCAGTCCACAGAGCACAGTATCCGTGAGGGTGTAGCAATGTCCAATCCCAGCGCAAGCAAACCACCGCCGCCGGGGACTTGAGGCGTGTCACAGAGGGGCCACGCAGACTCACACACGAGCACTCCACGCTAGCACTTTGCCACTCAAAGTGTGGTCCTCCGACCACCAGCAGTATTTGTTAAAAATGCAGAATCTCAGGTCCCATCACCCAACTGAACAAGACCCCCGCGTGATCTGAACACATTAAATGGTGCTCAGAACCAGCTTGAGAAAAAGTACAACTCGGGAATAGGTGATTCTGACTCCAGAGGTTCCAACTGGTTTAGTCCTGGCATGAGGACATGAGGTTCCCACCTCCATGTGTGCAGAATAATACTTTGAAGCCTTAACTAATTTTTCCACATATTTTTCTCTTTTGCCCCTTCCCCATTTCCAGCAGATAATTTATTTCATGCCCCTGGCCATCTGGCAGGGATATGAGAGGATGGAAAGCTATAGAGAATGAGAGACAGACAGACTTCTTCCTGACAGTGGCTTCTGAAAGCCTAAAGCCCATGGTGATACTGAATGTTTGGAAGTGGGTTTGGGGGAGAAGGGGACGCTCCACACCAGAAAAAATTTGCTTCATGCTGGGGGAAAGGAGGGACAAGCAGTTGTCACTGGACAGATGTCCCTGAGGCCCAGAGACTGAGGCTCTGTGTCCTGATTGCTGCAGAGAGGAAGCTCCTGTGTCGGGGGATTCCTATTCCTTCACAGAATAGCATAGGAAAGGCCCTGGGACTTGAAGGAACCAAGTGGACAGAAACGAGGAGCATCCCAGGGGCAACCTGCATGAACCTGCATGTTGAAGGGACAGTCCGGGCAGACACCTACCGGACAGAGGCGTTGAAGATCACACAGGCCTTCGCTGCCACCATCAAAAGTCCTGCAGGGGCTTCCCTGGTGGCGCAGTGGTTGAGAGTCCGCCTGCCGATGCAGGGGACACGGGTTCGTGCCCCGGTCCGGGAAGATCCCACATGCCGCGGAGCGGCTGGGCCCGTGAGCCATGGCCGCTGAGACTGTGCGTCCGGAGCCTGTGCTCCGCAACGGGAGAGGCCATAATGGTGAGAGGCCTGTCAACCACAAAGACAAAACAAAACAAAACAAGTCCTGCAGATGCAGATTTAAATAAATAATCAAAACAATGGCGGGCGCCAGTAGAAGCGGAGGGGTATTAAGTGTGAAGCCCCAGAGGATTAGGCACTTAGAATTAAGTTGTTATAGAAAATAAAGGAAGCCAGAATGTGTGGTGAAAACTGTATGAGCTACATGGAAGGCTGGCAAGACTTGAACTCAAGAACAGCCTCCAAATGGCCCTTTTCTGGGGGCCCCTCACGTGACACCTCTTAGCAGCCACTCCTCTCACCACTACCTCCAGATTTTCTCCTCCGAATCCCCAGCTCTGCCCCCTGAACATCTTATTTTCTTTCTCTCTTCCTTTCTTTCCTTCTTTTAAAAAATTTTTTTAAATTGAAGTATGGTTGATTTACGATGTTGGGCCAATCTCTGCTGTACAACAAAGTGACTCAGTTATACACATAGAGACATTCTTTCTTTATATTTCCTTCTTTCCTTCCTCCCTCTCTCTCTCCCTTTCTTCCTTCCTTCCTTCCTTCCTTTCTTTCCTTCTTTCATTCTCCTCAAAATTGCCTTTAACACCCCAGCAGGAACGACCTCCATAACCCTTTCAAATAAAGATCCTAAACAACAGCAAGAAACAGCGCTTCCCCCCGCAGGGCAGGGAGAAGCCAGTTTTTAAAAACACAGGGCTTCACCTTCCCTCCCTGGAGGGGAAAGGAGACCCTGTGAATTCCCTCCCAGGTACGGCGGGCCTGAGATGCTCCTGACAGCCGAGAAAGGGGGCAATGTTTCCATGTTAAAACAAAATAAGTTTTCTCATCTACTCTACCCAAGTATTCTTACCAACATCATTTTTAATGAAGTTGAGGTGAAATACATGTTAGCTTTTGGGAGAAATGCCAGCTAATCACAGCTAAGATGGTGTCCCCATTTCTACCCCTCTCACCTTCTCCAGTGACAAAGGTCAGCTTTCCTAAAGATTCAGGGCCTTTGCAACCTGAAATGTCTACCCACAAAAGACTGATTCCTACTAAAAGCATTTGCCTTGTAATTGGTCCTGGAAGTGAAACTTGTACACAAGCTCCAGAAATAACAGTGGCCTGCTAGCAGCAACAGCACTGCAACCTCCTCCTTCCTGAAGTGAGGCCAGGGTGGAGGTAGAGACGTGCTGAGGGTAAGAGAAAATCCCACACACACTCTCCAGTCTGTTATTTCTGGGCAGGAACTTTTCCTACTGGATCCAAAGAAACCACAGGCTCTGGCTTTGTGCCAGCCCCCATCTCTACACTGGCCCTGAGCCTCTACATGGCAGCCTCTGCTGGTGCCCCCTAGAGAGAGCAGTGGGCGGCTCCTTCCTCCTCCAAACCCAGCAAGGTCTTTTTTCACTCTTTTCCAGGCTCAAAGAAGTGGAGCGAGCTGCCTGAAAGTGGGTACAGACAGCTAACTTAAGTGACTCAGATTACAATCCCTGCCTCTGCCTGTCCTCCACTTCCTCTTTCCCTTTCATCATCTCTGAGAGGTACCTGTGGGTGCCTTTCAAGCCTCCTGCTTTGGCTGTAGCATCTATAGTATAGTATGACCTCACCACACTATAGTGGGACAGCCCACTGTAGGGGGGCCCATTAGTTGTAAGGCGGCTGGACAGAGAAAGAGAAAGGGAAAGAAGGCATGGAGGGAAGAAACCATGAAATGGGAAAGTGAGAAATGACCCGCCAGTCCTGGTTCCTGATACTTCATTTCCTGCTTCCATACTTCTTGAAGTTTGACAACACTTGGGTTCCACAAATCATCATTGTGTGTCACCCCAGCGTCTTCTGTCTCCATTAGAGCTGTGCTATTCCTTCACTTAGATTGTCTGTCTCTCTCACAATGATCCAGGACCCCCTTGACACCAGGGATCTTTTCTTATTCATATTTGTAACTTCAGCCCTTGATGGAGAATTCTGGCACAGAGAAGGTGATTCAAATGCTGGTTGAATCAATAAAAGGACAACTTGATTGTCACACATTATCCTTGTGTTTAGTGACCAAAATTGTTAGACATTATGTTTGTGCTTTGCATATATGCACACACACACACACCCCCCAATATTAAACATCTTTTCTTCCATTCATGGTTGATGGTTAAATAGAATATTCTTTTGTAAATACAGTGAACGTGATTATCTTCTCAGCACATGTGCTTTTCATGGCTGTCCAGAGACAAGGGCTCTTTGGTGATGCTCATGCTTGTGGAAACTTCGTGCAGGACCTTCAAGAGTGAGTAGTTGCCTCCCCAGCTGTTATTCTCCCTCTTGGAAGCAGCGCCCATGTCCTGCTGTAGATGTTAAACATGCCAGGCCAGCAAATTGTCGGGCTCATTTGCAGCTAGATCACAGGCAGGTGAGCTAGTCTTGGGACCTGCTGTGGCTTCTGCTGAGAAGCTCTGAGAAAGCAGGTCCTCCTTAATAACGGAAGAGGCAGGATGGGAAGACCCCTGCCTTGCTGCTGGAGATAAGGCCTGGTGAGGATGTGATGCTTGGAACCCAAAGTGATTTTAAAACCATGAAGGGAGATAGCACCAAAACACTGAGAATGGCAGAGCAGGAAAATGAGAAGAGCCTGGGTGCTTAACAACTGTGGCAGACTGAGTGTTCAAGTAGGATACCTTGAAGATATCCATGATCTGATCCCTAGAACTTGTAAATCTTACCTTACATAAGGAAAAGGACTTTGCAGGTGTGATTAAGTTACGGATCTTGAGATGAAGAGGTTATCCTGAATTATCTGGACGGGTCCTAAAGGTAATCACAAGGGTCCACAGAAGAGGAACGCAGAGGGAGATTTGAGTACAGAAATAGAAAGCAAGAGGTGGAGTGATTCAAGGAAGGGGCCATGAGCTGAGGAAAGCAGAAGGCCTCCAGAAGCTAAGGAAGATAAGGAAACAGATTCTCCCCTAAAGCCTCCAGAAAAAAACCAGCCCTGCCAACTGACCTTAATCCAATGAAACTGATTTCAGACGTCTGGCCTCCAGAGCTGTAAGAGAATAAATTTGGTTGCTTTAAGCCACCAAGTGTGTGATAATTTGTCATAGCAGCAGTTTGTCAACAGCAACCTAACAATGAACCAACCCTGGGAACTCCCTACCTCTGGATTTCTTGTGAAATGACATCATTTTTTTTTTTTTTTTTTGCGGTACGCGGGCCTCTCACTGCTGTGGCCTCTCCCATTGCGGAGCACAGGCTCTGGACGCGCAGGCTCAGCGGCCATGGCTCACGGGCCCAGCCGCTCCGCGGCATGTAGGATCTTCCAGACCGGGACACGAACCCGTGTCCCCTGCATCGGCAGGCGGACTCTCAACCACTGCGCCACCAGGGAAGCCCTGACATCATTTTTTAAATTCCTGTGTTCTTAAGCTACTTTTCAGCAAGACTGGATGTTAGCGATACTTATAGCCCAAAGCATCGTAAATAATACTTTTAGCACAAGCATTGGCAGTTTTGGTAAGGGCGTTATAGGATATTGGTTCCGCTGCTAACACAGAAAGAATTTAAGTGCATATATAGAGAGAGGGCTGGCAGGGCAGCTCAGGTTCAAGAGCTTTGCCCAGAACCAAGCTTCACCTACCTAGCACATTGGGTACCTCCCACTTAATTTTTCTTTTTTAGTAGTGATCAAATAAGTAGCTTTTTGAATTATCACTAAAGTATGTCTGATTGCTCCGCCATTCTTGTGGGGTTGCCCTCAACCTCATGGCCCACGTGGCTTGTCACCACTGCAGTGGAAAACCAGCCAAAGAGAAGAGGGGCAGGTCCCAGGATGAGGGACCTGGAAAGCCACACCTCCACTTGCAGAGCAATAGTCAGAACTGGTCACAGGGCCATGCTTACGTGTCAGCGAAGCTGGAAGTCTTTATTCCAATGTGCCCAATTAGAAACTCAGAAAAAGAAGGGAGATCATATATTGGGGGATGCCAAATGACCTGTTTCAGGAGTTCCACTGACAGATTACATGAGCATTCAAGTTAAAATCAAGAAGGAGGTGTCAGCATCTCAGTACTATGGCCTATATAATCAATCGTACTGGTGAAGTTTAACTCAGTCCAGACCTCTCCTGGTCTGCTGCTCCGGTTCATGATTTTTTTTTTGGGGGGGGGGGGGCGGGTAGCAGCAGAACCTTCAGTGTGTAAGGAAGATACCAGCGGTGGTGTCCCTCCCCCTTACCTGTCCCTCATCATCTAGGGCATGTCTTTGGAACATTGTTGTTCCAGGAACACACTTTGAAATTGTCTCTGAAAGGAAACAAAACCATACTGCCAGACACAGTGATTCCTGGGGATTCCCAAGGCCGCTGAGTTTATTTCTTCTGTGAGAAACCCCCCAACCCTTGGTAAAGAAGCTGGACGGGTCCTGTTTCTGAACTCAGCACTTGGTGTATTTTAGAGTCACTCACTGCAGGAGAAACAGAACCTTGAGCACGCGCTCCTCTCAGCACGTGAGAAGCCATTTTCAATTACACTCCAGAGCACACAGTGCTGTCTGGGGCCAGAGTGAATGCTGGTTGCCATGGCACTGCTTTAAATTATGTCTGTGCTGACACACTGTCACATGCTGTTCCCATACACGGGGGCCACGTCTATCTCTTCCCACTGTTTGTTGCTCGATGCTTGAGCTCTGCACCAGGAATAGAGATATATGAGCAAGAAAGCAAATGCATGTGGTCGCCACACCTTCTACCTAAATAATATATAAGATACCATGGATTGGAAATACTTTAACTATGAAACAAAAGATCCAGGTTCTGTTCACAGTTCTCTGCTGTGTAGCTTTGGGCAAATCCTTTACTCTCTCTGTGCCTTGGTTTCCTTACCTGTACAATGAAAGAGATGCAATAGCAGGTCTCCAAGGTCTCCTCCTGATGTAACTGGCTTTGCTTCCTGTGCGCTGTTGTGAAGCCACAGAGATGAGCAGAGCTCTGCAGAGGATGAACATCAAAGCGTGAGTGAGGCAGTTCCTATAAGCTGTTGCACAGTCGTCTCCATGCTGACTGTTTCTGAAACTCTCCTCCAGCACCTCTGGGCCGCTAGAGATTTGTTTTGAGTCAATTTCCTGGCAAGATGCCACTTGCCAAAAGGTCCCTTCTGAGCTACTAAGGGGACTGTTTTCAGCTTACGTTGAGTCATTATTTGCCTTGGAGTTGATAGTCCCTGGTTCAATGCTCAGGACTTTGGTCCCTAAAATTGTTAGACCACCTCCCCCCCAATAAAGTCAATTCTAAAACCAGAGAAAGATACACGTGTGAGGCTAGGCTCTGGACCTGTTTCACAGAGTAGCATCTCATGGGACCGAGAGAGTTGTGAGGAAACAGCTCTGATACTTGTCTAACCAGTGTGCAGCTGGTTTTATTGGGTGGGATATGAACGAGGTTACCTTTACATTTCTGCTTACATTGTCCTGACCCCTGCCCAGCCCTCACCTGTTGATGGCAGGGATGGGACTCCCACCTTCAAAGTCTCCTCTCTACCCCACCTCAATTATTTCTGGGACTCCCCAGAGAGCGTCTCATGTATATCCACAAAACAAAAGTACGAGCTGGGAAACCAGGATTACAATGGGAGCAGGGTGTCTTGGCATAAACCAGGGCTAAATGCGTCATAGGAAAAAAATCTAGGGCCTCGATAACAACCACCGTCTTAATAGCAAGGATTGAGTACCTTAGTTTGCCTGACAGGGGATGAGAGAAAACTTTAGGCAGACTTCACAGAGAATGTGAAACACTGGCTGACTCTTAAAATGGATGCTAGATCAAATGATGATGGCTTGCGGGAGGATATGATGAAACAGATGTTTAGTTCCTTGCTCTCCAACTGACTGAGCCCTCCCCCTTTCAATTGCAACATTTGTTCATTCATTTGGTGGGGGTTTTTTTACATTGTCCAAAACTTAGAATTAAGGAAAAAAGATAATTGCATATCTTTTCAATGTCATGCTGGAGTGTTGCCTAACTGACCTACCTAAGCAGTATTTCTCTAAAGAATGTACCTTTGGGACTTTCCTGGAGGTCCAATGGTTAAGACTCGGCGCTTCCTCTGCAGGGACACGGGTTCGATCCCTGGTCAGGGAATTAACATCCTGCCTGCCACGAGGCCAAAAAAAAAAAAAAAAAAAATAGTGTAAAAGAAAAAAAAAAATGTATTTTTGTTTGACTTGTTAATTATTATTATTAAGGTCCAGATTCGGTGAAGTTACCTGTTAATTTATAGGTTTTCTTCTGTTAGAGATACAAATGATCCCTATTCAGTAGAAAAGACAACCCCAAAGATGACAGTTTATTGCCCCGTAGGATGTTAACCAGATTTACCTCTAACCAAGCTAACATATCTCAGCACACCTCCTGACTCTATAGAAACCTCTGTTCTTAGAGTTTTCCTTGGACCACTTTTGTTATTTTGCTGCTTCCTTCACTGAGTGAGTTAAATAAATATTTGACACAAGCTCACTATATGTTTAATGAGAGTCAGATTTTTAACTCTTAGAAAATTATCCTTCGGCATTCATTTAACAAGTATTTGTTGAACAACTATTACAGGAAAGGCACCATGCTAGGGGCAGGGAATATAACAGACAGCAAGACAGACAAGGTCTCTGCCCTCATGAAGCAAACATTCTGGAGGGGAGTAAACCAGTAACAAATCAATACCTTATAGATTGTGATTAGGGCAATGAAGAAAAATGCATAAGGTGCTGTGACAGAGATTAATGGAACAGGTGGTCAAAGGAGACCTCTCCTTCCTTGAGGACATTAAGCTGAAGGTGACATTAAGCTGGGACTTGGAGGAGAGGAGCCAGCCGTGCAAAGAAGCAGAGGAAGCGTTCCAAGACAAAGGAAATGACAAGCACAAGGACGCTGCTGTAGGGCCAGGTCAGCGTGTCCTGAGAACTGGAAGAAGGCCACGGTGGCTGTGGTAGAGTGCACCAAAGGAAAGATGGCGCGAGATAAGATCAAAGGACTAGTACCAGGGCTTCCCTGGTGGCGCAGTGGTTAAGAATCCACCTGCCAATGCAGGGGACACGGGTTCGAGCCCTGGTCAGGGAAGATCCCACATGCCGTGGAGCAAGTAAGCCCATGTGCCACAACTACTGAGCCTGCGCTCTAGAGCCCACGCGCCTAGACCCTGTGCTCCACAACAAGAGAAGCCACCCCAATGAGAAGCCCATGCACCGCAACGAAGAATAGTCCCCGCTCACCACAACTAGAGAAAGCCCACGTGCAGCAATGAAGACCCAGTGCAGCCAAAAGTAAAATAAATTTATTTTTTAAAAACATTTGTATGGTGACCGATGGTAACTATACTTATTGTAGTGATCATTTAGTAATGTATACAAATGTCAAATCACGACGTAGTATACCTGAAACTAATAGAATGTCATAGGTCAATTACACTTCAGTTAAAAAATTGTTTTATAACATTATATTAGTTTCATACTGTCAAATTTATCCTTTTTGGTACACTATTCTGTGAGTTTTTATCATTTAAGTTTGTGATTATCTGGCGTGTTTAGTAGATAAGGAATGCTGTGGTTTTCAGGTTTTTATTTTTTGTGTCTGGTTTTGTTTTGTTTGCATTGTCCCTGTAAGTCAGGGAGAGTCCTGCTCCCTTGGGAAAATCAGATTTAGAAGTGAGCTTATAGGAATGACTTAATGTGACTTTTGCCAGATAAATTATGAGAGGGGAGGAGCTCAGTATCTGAAAGGTCCTAACAGTCCCTGACACATGGGAGAAATTCATTAAATATGGATCTCAGGTGTGAACGACAGAAGCGATGTTCTGTTCATGCTGGAAACCCAGGCGTCCTTCTCCATACGCTCCTGGATTTCCCTATTCAAGTCATCACCCAATCCTACTGAGTTTACATGTTCTGTCTCTCGTATCAGCCCTTCTGTGTCTCTAACACTCCCCCCAACCCAGACACCATTATTTCCCATGTGGACTATGTAGTAGCCCACGGCCAGGATTGCTGTAGGCCTGATGTGGACAACACTACACTTAACTGGGAACAAGACCCAAAGATGACAAGAAAAAAGGAGCTGGGGAGCTAAAGAGCAACCTATGAATGTGTAAAAAATTAATAAAGAGGGCTTTCCTGGTGGCGCAGTGGTTGAGAGTCCGCCTGCCGATGCAGGGGACACGGGTTCGTGCCCCGGTCCGGGAAGATCCCACATGCCGCAGAGCGGCTGGGCCCGTGAGCCATGGCCGCTGAGCCTGCGCGTCTGGAGCCTGTGCTCTGCAACGGGAGAGGCCACAACAGTGAGAGGCCAGCGTACCGAAAAAAAAAAATTAATAAAGAGAAACCTCAGATAAGTAGAGTGGGGAGATCAGAAGCGGGAGCTCTCGTGCCCTACGCCGATAGCAGAGCCTGATAGGAGGAAGAAAGACTTCCTCTTCCTGCCTGGCAAGAGCTCAGCCAGTGAGAGAATGTCACAACCCAGCCAAAGAAAATCCTTGGACTCTGTTTCCTGTAGCCCTCCAACCTCCTTTCCCCTTTATAAAAGAGTTCTCCTTCCCATTTTTGCTGAGGACTTGTACATGGCTCACCATGTTGTGGACCCCAAATTGCAATTCTTTGCTGCTCAAAAAAAAAAAAAAAAAAATTTTTTTTTTTCGGTGAGAAAATAACTGGCAGTCTATTTGTTTTAGGTCAACAAGTGCATTGCCACTAAGAAATACACGGTCTTCAACCTTCGCCATGTTGCATGACTTCCTGCAATTATGTAGCATCAAGCTCATCCAAGAATGGGGCCATTTCATGGGAATTCCCTGGTGGTCCAGTGGTTAGAACTCCACGCTCTCATTGCCGAGGGCCCGGGTTCAATCCCTGGTCGGGGAACTAAGGTCCCACAAGCCACATGGCCAAAAAACAAGAACAAAAGCAAGAATGGGTCCATTTTACCTTAAAAACAGAAAGGCTCTCAGGCACTTCAGAGAGAAACAGCTCTAATTTTCTTGAAGCATCAGGAGTCAGAGGGAGGATCAAACCCAGAAAAAAAGCAGGGGGAGGAAAATAAAATCTGAGTTAGAAACTTTGAGCTTGGACTAACAGAGCTTCCAAGGAACCCTACAATTTACAAAGTATTGTGAAACTCCAGTGAGTCCAATGCATCGTTGCCTAGGCTCCCACGCACAGAAGGGTCCAGTGCTCAGTGAAGGCTCTGCTATCACCACCTTGACCTTCTTAATAATTTTTAAACAAGAGCTCTGCATTTTTATTTTGCATGAGACCACATATTATGCAGCTTGTCCTGACCAGGGCAATTGACTGTATGGAACCTGAAAAACAGAAGTTCTAAGTAGTTGTTTCAATTCAAGCAGGGGGTACAGCTCAGGGGTAGAACATTTGACTGTAATGGAAGTAAATTCCTTTCTTAAAGGAGAGATTCTCTTTTTCCTTTCTGAGGTAATGTGACTTCACAGTGGGGAATGTGATGGAGGAGAGTCGGAGTGGACACGAGTGCCCGCCCACCTCCCCTGGGCACGTTCCACTGTACTCTGAGGGCTGCATACTGCTAACACCCACCTGAAGACTCTTCTGGCCACAGGAGGCTGCTTGGGCTGCCCGTGGGGCAATCCTAAGTGCTGGGGAATAGCGAGTTAGTGGGTATGGCCCTCACCTTCCTCGCCCCTCAGGAACAGGGATATTAGGGATCCTTCGGAGGCGTGTTCCACTCTACTCCCAGCGTCCCCTCGGGGAGTCAGCGCCAGCTGCGCATGGGAGAGACCTGCTTGCTGATGCACACTTTATCGCTCCCTTCCTCTCCCCATCTCAAATCTCCATTCCTCTGTTGGAGTTTCCTGGAATTACCTCCTGAATAAACTACACGCACCCAAATCCTCATGTCGGGGATACTTCCAGGGGAACTCAAAGACAGCAAGTCATTTCATGAAAATCCAGGACAGGTTCAAAGAGTGACGTGAATGACAACTTATACACAGTTCGGGGGCTGCTTTCTCTTCACTTTGCCTCTAAGCCAGCAAATAAGACTGTGAAGGATACATACTAGGTAAGGATTCAAGCGGGTGAGTGGATGGCTCCTGAGC